AAGAGTTAAGATCAAAGACAAAGTCACAGATTTTGTTTTTATGGGGTTCACAGTGTAGAGAAGATATTAACATCACCACCACCATCCATAACAAACAGCACCTGCTATGATCTCTAAGCCATTACCATACCACTAATATTTGATCATTCTCTATGTGCCACGTTATTATAGTAACCATTTACAAGCTTTCATTAATCCACCAAAAAACATGCTATCTCCAGGGTACAGTAGTCTCAAGTTTACTCAGGTAGTCTGTGATAGTGCCAACATTTAAGCCCAAATGTGACTTGAATGCTTACCATAGTGGTGGGTTCAGAAAGATGCCCTAAAAACCAGATAGATGTCTATGCTAAGAATTCTGAGGAGGAGTGCATTGTATACTGCCAGGACAATAAACTACTGATTGCAGTGTGTTGTTCACTCACATTTAAATACAATAACTTATGTGATTGAATTTACATCTGCTATTCTGCTGTTCAATTTACATATGTGCCATATCTTTTTATTCTATTCTTTCTAGTGGCCTCATCAGAGTATGCATAACTTAGTGGTCATCCAACAAACCTGTAAGGGTTCTACTCTACTGATTATCTGTGTGTGGGTTGGGGAAAGGCACTCAAAGATACAGCAGATGTCTAGTTCCCTCAGCTTTCCCTGTTTGTTGGACTCCCACTGGTCTTCCCCGCGCATGCACAGCTTCAGCCAGCAAGGAATGGGTGGAAAGCTCGCCTCTGCCTTTTGACTGCACCCTCATTTCCAGGGCATCCCGGTCGACCTTCTGGCAGGTGTGCAGCTCGCTAATTGGAACTGCAATCAGCCTAGCAAAGCTGTAGGTTTCCTCACGTGCTTCCAACTGCATAGTCCGCATTAAGCTGGGAAAGCCACGATATGTGCCCCTATGATTGTGACACCAATTCCAATGTGTGGGTTTTCTAACACCATCAAGATGTCAGCATCACAAGTCTCTGTGACACCATTTGGGTGTCCTGCAATTTAACCCAGTTCTGACTACCTGGAGATGGCATCAGATCCCATAGGTTAAGGGCTCAGTCCCACAAGACTGCTCCCATCGGACTTCAGTTGCTAATCACAAGTATTAGGTTGTCACCCATAGGCTACAAGTAAAAGACTTCCACAACCCCCTCCACGGGTTCCATCGATTTGCTACAGCAGCTCATAGAACTCAAGAAATATTTCACTTCCTGTTTCCCAGTTTATATAAAAGGATATAATGACATGCAGATGGAACAGCAAAATACACAGAAAAGTCTTTGTGCCCTCACCCTCTGTGCCACTTTCCCAGTACCTCCAAGTGTTCGCAGTGTGGAAGCTCTCCAAACCCCATCATACTGGGTATTATAATCACTTCATTACACAGGTGTGGTTGATAAATCACTGGCCATTGGTGACTGAACTCCATCTCTAGCCCCTCTCTTCTTCAGGGATGTGGCTGAAAGTTCCAATGTGGTTCGTTTCCCTGGCATCTAGTTCCCATCCTTAGGTTCCCAAGGAGCTCTCCAAAAGTCTCCTCATCAACCTAACTCTTAAACACAGGAAATTCCAAGGGTTTTATGAGTGAGCTCTGTGCTAGGAATGGGGTAAGAAGACCAAAAACATGTTTCTTACAAATTACAATATCACTGCCCCAAAGTCATTCTGACCTCTTTGCTTGCAAAGCTGCTGACTTTTGCACCCTGCCACATGCTTGGTGAAGCTACGATTCTCACTGGCCATGCAGGGTATGAAAGCAGCCTATGCAAGATGACCACATACTTCTGCCATTTTTACCAAAAGTCTTAGTAGTTATTCAAGCAAAGATACTTCTTAATTTGTCTTAATTGCTGATCACGTTCCAGTGCCCTGAAACTGTTGTTTGTGACTATTTTGTCCAGTTTTATACTTGTGCAGTGAGAGTAACTGACAAACTCTTTGCACCACCACCACCAGAAGTCTCAGTTTTTATATTGTTAAAAACAAAAGAGGCCCAAAATGGAGTTGGTTACACTAAGCCCCATGTCATCAAACAGATTAGGATTAATTATAGTTTCTGTTCTTCCAGAAATAGAATTTTAAAGCAATTCATCCAGAATAGCCTGATTAGCTAAAGGAAGCAAATCTTGGAACAACCAACACACATTTTAGCCTAGTATGATTTCCTTGTTCCTATACCCTTCTGAATATAAAAGTATTTCATTTTGTGCAGCTCCTTGGAGCTTCTATCTGCTAGATTAGATGCTGCCTAAATCAAATCAATTTTTGCTCAAATAAACTAAAAATTTTTAATATGTCCCAATTTATCTTTTAATAATATATATAGATTTTTTTGCCTTAGTAATCCAACCTTTTCTGATATATGGAAAGGTAACTCAAATTCAATAAAGTAAATACCTGTTAATGGTCCATATTGTGTTTATATTGTCAAATTTAGTATAAACAGCATTTTAAATTACTTTTTTAAAAGCTAATTTTAAAATTGGATTTTTTTTTTTCCTTGCAAGTTTCTAGAAAGATCCTGCAACATTCTTTGAAGCCTTTTTTGGCTAAAGGACATGGAAAATATCTCAAAGGAGGTATATTTTAATAAATTTGCTAGTGAACTGTTAAAATTTCAAGAAGCTGAAATTTGCTATTTCCTAGGATAGAATATCTCTTGAGAAACCTGTATGCAGGTCAGGAAGCAACAGTTAGAACTGGACATGGAACAAGAGACCGATTCCAAATAAGAAAAGGAGTACGTCAAGGCTGTATATTGTCACCCTGCTTATTTAACTTATATGCAGAGTACATCATGAGAAACACTGGGCTGAAAGAAGCACAAGCTGGAATCAAGATTGCTGGGAGAAATATCAATAACCTCAGATATGCAGATGACATCACCCTTATAGCAGAAAGTGAAGAGGAACTAAAAAGCCTCTTGATCAAAGTGAAAGAGGAGAGTGAAAAAGTTGGCTTAAAGCTCAACATTCAGAAAACTAATCCCATCACCTCATGGGAAATAGATGGGGAAACAGTGGAAACAGAGTCAGACTTTGTTTTTTTGGGCTCCAAAATCACTGCAGATGGTGACTGCAGCCATGAAATTAAAAGACGCTTACTCCTTGGAAGGAAAGTTATGACCAACCTAGATAGCATATTAAAAAGCAGAGACATTACTTTACCAACAAAGGTCCATCTGGTCAAGGCTATGGTTTTTCCAGTGGTCATGTATGGATGTGAGAGTCGGACTGTGAAGAAAGCTGAGCGCCGAAAAATTGATGCTTTTGAACTGTGGTGTTGGAGAAGACTCTTCGGAGCCCCTTGGACTGCAAGGAGGTCCAACCAGTCCATCCTAAAGCAGATCAGTCCTGGGTGTTCATTGAAAGGACTGATGCTGAAGCTGAAACTCCAGTACTTTGGCCACCTGATGCGAAGAGTTGACTCACTGGAAAAGACCCTGATGCTGGGAGGGATTGGGGGCAGGAGGAGAAGGGGACAACAGAGGATGAGATGGTTGGATGGCATCACCGACTCGATGGGCATGAGTTTGAGTAAACTCCGGGAGTTGGTGATGGACAGGGAGGCCTGGCGTGCTGCGATTCATGGGGTCGCAAAGAGTCGGACACGACTGAGTGACTGAACTGAACTGAACTGAACTGAGGATAGAATATGTCAAAACCTAGACCTACAGGAAAAATTACTTTATTTACCATATTGACTCATATATAATGCTAATTTCCTTACTTTTATAAAGTTAGCAAAAAAAAATTATCCCAAAAACTTCACCAAGACAACTTTTACTTTTTTCTTCTTTGAAACAGCAGGGGCTTCACTCAGTCTCTCTTAACAGAAAGTATTTTCAGGAATAAAAATGTGATTAAATCATCCAGTGAATACTGAAAAGGTTGTTAGGAAAAGATGAGAGTCGGCTATTACCTAATGCAGTTTTCACTTTTAGGTGTATGAATACGTATTTCCATTACATGAACATATAATAATTGTTCTATCTAAATGCCTGCATCTCAACAGACATCAATTTGAACAAACTCGGAGTTGGTGAAAGACAGGGAAGCCTGGTCAATGGGGTCGCAAACAGTTGGACACAGCTGAGCAACTGAACAACAAAAAACTCCTACTAATGGACATTTAAATTATTTCCATTTTTCATTATCATGAATAATGCTACAAATGAACATTCCTAAGAAGGTTCTTAGTATATCAGACAGAATATATCTCAAAGACATACACCTAGAAGATCAGTGCTTTGACTTTACTAGATAATTCTGAATTATGGTTGTTCCATTTACATGGCATACAAACATAAACATTTCCACTTTTCCACACTTTTGGTATTTGTTAGATTTATTAAATTTTACCAATCTTATAGCTATAAAAATGAAATTATCTGTTTAAATTTGAACTTTCCTAAATGCTAATGGGATTATGTACCTTTTCAAATGTTTGCTGGTTTTTTTTTTTGAGAGAAAAATAAAGAGAAGAGAGATAAGGAGACAGATAGGGCCAGTGGGGAGGGCAGATAAGGAGAGGAGAGAAATCTGAAGAATATAAGGTAAAATAATACTTGTTAATTTTGGAAAGTAGATGCATGTATTCTGGCAAGTTATTTTCATTTAGGTTTCAATACGTTTACAATAACATTATAAATTCATAGGGCTCCCCCAGTGGCTCAGAGGTAAAGACTCCATCTACAATGCAGGAATTTCAGGAGAATCAGGTTCAATCCCTGGGACGGGAAGATTCCCTGGAGGAGCACATGGCAGCCCACTCTGGTAGTCTTGTCTGGAGAATCCCATGGACAGAGGAGCCTGGTAGGCTATAGTTCATAGCATTGCAAAGAGTTGGACATAACTGAAGTGACTTAGCATAATTTCATAACACAATTATGTTTTAAACAGAATTAAACTTTGAGTTAGTTCTTCACATTTCAGATACTAAAGGCTATGTGGTAGTTTTTGACAATGATCCTGCATCACAATTTGATTCAGAAAATAGTAAGCACTTACTCGAAGGCCAGAAATCCTCCTCATGGTAACCTGGCGGTTTGAATCATGGTGTCCAGAAATTTGATTTGGACCCGGGAACATGAAATCTCGTGTATTCTCATCATATGTAGACAACGTTTCACCCACTACAAGAAAGATATCCTATGATTCAAATTATAACAAAATATGCTATTTAGAAACAATATCATCAAGTACAAATATATAATGCCTGATGCCTTAATGAAATACCTGCTTCAGGGTCATGCTTTTAATTTTTTTCTATAAAAGGAAAAAAATTAAAATAAAGTTATGTTAAACAAATTAACAGATTTCCTTATAAGAAATGTCATACATACTACTGATTCTCTCTCCCCTTTTGTAGAAAGGGGATATTCATGTAAATTTTTTATGAATTCCTAGGGAAAAAAATACCATTTAAACATATAAAACTGACATAATATTTAGACATCTAAAACTTAATTAGCATCTATACAATTTATTTTTCTATCTTCCATTCTTTTCTACCTGCCATTATAAGACATTAGATTACATGTTGAAAAAAATATAGACATTTTTTAGAATTTGTGGTTACCAGAATTAGGTATATATGTGACACTCAAAAATTTTAGATTACTAGCTTTCAACAAAATATAGCCTCCTGTGACTCACATAACATAAGGACTTAAGATAGATTCTTCTATAATCATAGAAATCAGTAATATAAATATAACTTTCCTTCAGGTTTTAACTGTACCTACCATAGGGATCTATACTGCTTAGGTACAGTTTTAATTCCCCTACATTTCTAATAACAGCCAATACACAAAAACAAAGATAATGAACTACTTTATCAGTAAAAGCATACTGTTTTAGAAAAATCACAAGAACTTTTAATATGTTAATTTTTATGAATGTCACAAAATATGCTAGGATGCTATCAGGTTATTTTTCACTTTCAATTATGATTATTTATTCAATTTTAGAACAACATGTTCACATATAATTTATGTCAATCTTTCTGTATATATTATTTTGGACTACTGACATTTTACATATAGTGGACCAATGCTAGAAACTCAACATTGCTCTTAACGTGGCAAGAAGTGGAAAAGATGACATTTTTAAAAAGCATTGTAATTAGCCTCTAACTAATAAAAATAAATGGAAAAAAAAAGAAAAAAAAATAAAAAGCATTTCATTAAAATGGGTTCACATGTCAATTACCTCATCAAAATATAATACAGTACCTGGTGGAACTAGCTGAATCAACTCAAACAATGCTGTATCATCTGAAAGTTTAAAGAAAAATGTCCTTAAATAAACAAATTTATAACAAACAATAATTACTTTACAACAGAAGTACATAAAAGGCAAAGTAATTGTTCAGTAGACTACATATATGTTTATATCTTAGTATACTGTGTCTATTTTTGGTTGCTCTTTATCATATAGATTTATTAATCTGTAGTCAAAATTGATCTTTTTAGTTTTTTTCCTGATTTTAAGGCCTTAATTTTTTAGAGTATTTTTATTTAGATTTACAACAAAATTGAGAGAGAGGGACACAGATTGCCTCTATACATCCCCTGCCCCTAAACACGCACAGCCTCTCCCACTATCATTCACAGGAATGCACATTTTTTAAACAAGCATGAACCTACACTGATACATCATAATCGTCCAAAGGCTATAGTTAACCTCAGGCTTCACTCTTAGTGATATACACTCTGCGGGTTTAGACAAATGTAATAATGACATTGTGTGTCAGTTGTTCAGTCATGTCTGACTCTTTACAACCCTGTGGACTATAGCCCACCAGGCTTCTCTGTCCACGGAATTCTCCAGGCAAGAATATTGGGAGTGGAATGCCATTCCCTTCTCCAGAGGAACTTCCCAACCCAGTGATCGAACCCTGGTCTCTTGCATTGCAGGCAGGTTCTTTACCGTTTGAGCTACAGGGAAGTCCTAATAATGACATTATCTATCATTATAATACCATACAGAGTATTTCCACTGCCCTGTTCCTCTGTTCTCTGGTTATTTACCTCTCTCCTCCCCACAACCCACCACCACCACAATCACTGATCTTTTCATTGTCTCTACAGTTTTGTCTTTTCCAGAATGTCATGTACTTGAAATCACACAGTATGTAAGCTTTCAGATTGGCTTCTTTCACTTAGTAATATGCATTTAAGGTTCCCCTATGTGTTTTTATGGCTTGATAGCTCATTTCTTTTTATTGCTGAATAATATCCCATTGTCTGGATATCCACAGTTTACTCCTTCACCTACTGAAAGACAGCTGCTTTCAAGTTTTGGCAATTATGAATAGAGCTGCAATAAATATCCATGTGCAGACTTTTGTGTAGACATAAATTTTCAACTCTGCATAAAGACCAAGGAGCAGTATTGCCTGATCATATGGAAAGGATGAGCTAGCTTTTGGAAAAAACCCACCAAACTGTCTTCCAAAGTGTCTGCACCATTCTGCATTCTCACCAGCAGTAAGTGAGAGTTCTTCTTGCTCTGTATCCTCACTAGCATTTCATGCTGTCACTGTTCCAGATTTTGGCAATTCTAAGGAATGTACAGCAATCTCATTGCTTTAATTTGCATTTCTCTAGTGATATACAGTGTGAAGTATCTTTTCACATGCTTATTTGCCACCTGTATATCTTTGGTGAGGTGTCTCAAGGCTTTTGATGCATTTTTTTAATTAGGTTGTTTGTTTTCTTATCATTGAATTTTAAGCATTATTGGCTTATTTTAGATAATAGTCCTTTATCAGGTGTGTCTTTTGCAAATATCTTCATCCAGTCTGTGGCTGGTCTTCTAATTCTCTTGATTTTTCCTTTCACAGAGCAAAAGTTTTTAACTTATCAGTTATTTCTTATCAATTATTTCTTCCATAGTTTCTTTCAAAAACAACTATGATGTCTTTTGTGTTGTCTCTAAAAACATATCACCATGCCCAAGATCATTGAGATTTTTCTCCTGTGCTAACGTCTAGGAGTTTTATAGTTTTGCATTTTCCAGTTAGGTCTATGATCCATTGGTGGTGGTGGTTTAGTTGCTAAATTGTGTCCGACTCTTGTGACCCATGGACTGTACCCCAACAGGTATCTCTATCCATGGAATTTTCCAGGCAAGAATATTGGAGTGGGTTCCCATTTCATCCTCCAGGGGATCTTCCCAACCCAAGGATCAAACCTGTATCTACTATATTGCAGGCAGTCTCCTGCATTGCAAGTGAATTCTTAACCAACTGAGTCACGAGGGAAGCTGACAGAATAAACATTTAAGAGTATACATTTCCTTCTAAGTACTACCACAGCTGCATCCACAACTTTTGTTCTATAATATTTTTACAATTCAATACAAAATATTTTCTAATATCTGATATGCTTTCCTCTTTACCCGGGTGTTCCTGAGAAATAAATTTAGTTTCCAAACATAAGGCAATATTCTAGTTGTCTTTCTGTTACTGCTTTCTAGCTAAAATTTAACTGTACAGTGTGATCAGAAAACATAATGATTATGGTTTGAAATTTGAGACTGAATTTGTGGCTTAAAATATGATCAAATGAAATAATTTTGTAGTTGCAAGGTGTTGATTAAGCATTTTATATATGTCCATGTAAAAATGTGGTAATCCTTTTGTCCTGATCTTCTATATCCTTATTGATTTTATGGTTGTTCTATAACTACTGAGAAAGGGGTGTTAATTCTCCCATTGCAGTTGGTTACAGTTGGTCTTTATACCTTATTTACGTTGAGGCTATACTATTAGATCTGTTCAAACTGGAAACTGTTGTCTTCCTAGTTAAGTTTTATCAATATGACATGAGCCTCTTGAACATTTTTTTCCCAAGGCTTATATCTAAGTCTTAAAAACTACTTGATTAGGTTTTTAAAATCCAGTCTGACAATGTTTATCTTTTAATTGGAAGTTAATCCACTTATATTTAATGAGAATTACTTCTGAATCTACATCTACCTCTATCTACTTTGTCCTGCTTTGAATTTATTAAAAAGAACTATTTCAAATGTTTTACTGGTTTGGAGTTTTTATGCTCAAATTGTGTTTTTTCGGCAGTTACCCTTGAAAATATTACATGTATCCTTTTAACTTATCAAACTTTAATGTTAACACCTTATAAATATACCTTTTTCATTACTCCTGATATGTTGCTGTTATTTTAACTGTGTATTTTTTACCTTTCATAATTACCTTTTTAAGCAATCAATGCTCATTTATATTTATTCATACAAAATGACTTTCATTTTTCCACTATCATTTCTGCATCTATGATCTTCACTTTCCTTCTGCCTCAAATATATTCTTTAGAATTTCCTTTGGTAAACTGACTGGTGGCACACACTCAATTGTGTGTCTAAAGGTCTATTTTACAATCATTCTTTCAAAATATTTTTTGCTTGGTGTAGTTTGGGGTCAGTAGTTGTTTTCTTTCAGGCTATTATAGATATCCCACTATCATTTAGCTTCCACTATTGCTGCTAAAAAGTCATCTATCAAACTAACTAACATGACTTTGAGGGACTTCTGCCCTTTCACCTGGCAAAGATGTTTCAAATTTGGTTTTCTGTAGTCACCATAACTTTCTACATGTGTATTTCTTTTAATACAGACATCAAATCAGAGGATAAGTAAGTCTAACAAATTCCAAAAAAATATATGATCCATTAGGAGTTTTAATTTTTGTGAGAGGTGTATGGTCTGTATCTAGATTCATTCTTTTTTGAATGTGTATGTCCAGTTGCTCTAGCACCATTTACTGAAGAATCTATAATATCTTTGTTCTACAGTATTGTCTTTGCTCCTTTGTTAAAGATCAGTTGACTATATTTACAGAGGCATATTTCTATTCTTCCAGTATATTTTTATAAATATAAATTAAGTTTACTTCTTAAACAGAGTGATGGGCACAGCTGGGTATATTATACAACTCCTTAGACTTTTAATATGTCTGAAATACTTTATTATAAATTTACAAAAATAAGTATAAAATGTAAATTACACCCTTTCTCCCGTCTAAGAACCCATGAATGAGACAAATCTTTTTCTTTCTTTAAATTCTGTTACTTTCAACCAAGGAAAATCTCAGTTATTTAACTCAATACCTATATGCCTAATTTATGAAGAAATAGTAAATATTCCTTGTAACTCATAAATTGGGGCTGTAATAAGGAAAAAAATAACTGATATAGCCCTTTTCCTCAATGATCTGACATTGAGTTGAAAAGACAAACATTAAATAAAATAAAGAAACAAACATTTACAAACTACAACAGGGGCATTCAGGTAGTGCTGTAAAAGTATAGTAACAAGATAATCCAGTCAGGGAGTCAGCAAAGTCTGAAGAAGAGAAGATCTCTTTAGCATGAATAACTGTCAACCAGGAGTTAGGAAAATGAAAAAGAAAATGAAGTCGCTCAGTAGTGTCTGACTCTTTGCGACCCCATGGACTGCAGCCTACCAGGCTCCTCTGTCCATGGAATTTTCCAGGCAAGAGTACTGGAGTGGGTTGCCATTTCCTTCTCCAGGGGGTCTTCCCAACCCAGGGATCGAACCCAGATCTCCCGCCCTGCAGGCAGATGCTTTACCTTCTCAGCCACCAGGGAAGCCCATGAGAGTCAGGTGGAGTGAGACACTAGAGATTTAGGCAAGACAAACAGGATGTACAAAGGCTCTTAACAGAACATAGCAGGGTAATATAAGAGATTAGTGGTTCAAAAACAAACTTCTTATTCAAATCAACTTGAAAAGGTAGACACCTAAAAAATCTGCTTGAGGCAGTAGAGACCTAAGAAGATAGTATACAGATCACAAATCTGAAACTCAGTATAAGAAATAAATACAGAGAAGTAAGCCTGGTATTTGAGGCTGTTTCTCTTTTTGGGTATCTGACAGTTCTGACAGAGGTAGCTAAGAGGGTAAGAAGCAGAATATAACTTTTTATAAGCTCATGAAGTAGAGTTACAAAAATTGGAGTATCATGACCTTGGGAAGAGATGAGAAGGGAGGTCTGCAGGCAAGAGACAATGGCCTGTAAAGTAGCTAGGCCTTTAGGTTAGCTAAGGTTAGGACTGAATCTTGAAAATGTAAGCCATAAGAGTAAATTAAAAATAAATAACCCATGCTATATACTGAATGTCTGCATCCCCTCAAAATGCATATGTTGAAATTCTATCTCCCCTGCCCAAGTGTGATATTTAGAGTTAGGGCCTTTATGAGGTTATTAGGGCTAAGGCTTCATTAATGGGATTA